TCATCACCATAATCACCATCACCATCATCATCATCATCATCATCATCATCATCATCATCATCGTCATCATCGCCATGGTCATCATCATCATCATCATCATCATCATCATCATCATCATCATCATCGTCATCGTCATCGTCATCATCATGATCATCGTCATCATCATCGTCATCATCATCGTCAGAATCATGATCATCATCATCATCATCGTCATCGTCATCGTCATCATCATCAGCATCATCAGCATCATCAGCATCATGATCAACATCACTATCATCACCATCATCATCAACATCATCATCAGCATCATCAGCATCATCAGCATCATCAGCATCATCAGCATCATCATCAGCATCATCAGCATCATAATCAGCATCATCAGTATCAACAGCATCATCAAAATCATGATCAACATCATCATCATCACCACCACCACCACCGCCACCATCATCATCATCATCATCATCATCATCATCATCATCATCATCATCACAATCCTCATCATCACCATCATCAGCAGCAGCATCATCATCAGCATCATCATATCATCATCATCATCAGCAGCAGCAGCATCATCCTCATCAGCATCCTCATTATCATCCTCATCCTCATCCTCCTCCTGCTTGTTTCGGTGGCGCAGGCATCGAAACGATGAGGCACGAGCGCGCCCTGGTGCGCACTCCCCGCTAGGGGGCCACGGAGCCCCCCCGCTGAAACTGGCGCCATGTGGGGCGCAAGCACTGAGCCCTCGGAGGACGACGAAATTTTGACCGTACGCTCAGAAGTCCACTCGGCGGCGACGATAGGGGCGAATAGCCCAGAGACGGGCATTACACGTATTCGCCCGGGAGCCTTTTCGAAGACATAGATCATCGGCGCACCTGAATACATGCATTGCTCTCCCCTGGGCTATTCGCCCTATCGTCGCCTCTGATCCACCAGAGCCGTGGGGACGGCGGCGGCGCGCGTGCCATCTGCGGCCGCTCGCCCACGCCACCAAACACGACGACGAACGACTCGCGGGCCCCAGCCCCCCCGGCCCAGGAGCGCCTCTGCAGCCGTGGCCTGCCCTCTGCGGCCACGCCCTGCCTCTTCGCCTTCAGCTTCGCCTCTTCTCGGGAGGGGATGCCGGCGCGCCCGCCAGGGCCATCAGGAGAGGAGGCGGAGGACTTAGAGGACGACGACGACGACGGCGAGGGCGAGGTGCATGGAAGAGGTGGAGGGTAGGCACGGGGAGCAGAAGAGGGAGAGGAGGGGGGAGGCGCAGGCGGAAAGGGGGGACAAGAGGGAAGTGAGGGGAAGGGGCGAGGAATAGGAGGGGGAGGACAAGGACGGGTGCCACGGGGCAGCCAGGCCGAGAAGAGAGGAAGAGGAGGAAGATGAAAAGAGGAGGAGAACAGAAGGAGGAGCAGGAAAAGAAGAAGGATGCGGAGGGACGCAGGAAGGAGGAAGGGGGGACGGGACGGGGGAAAGAGGAAAGAGCGAAAGATAGAAGGAGCACGAGTGAAAGCAGTAGACAAGGATCAACAAGGTCAGTACGAGGAAGAGGCAAGAAGGACGAGGAGGAGGGGATGGGGAGGACCAACATAAACTCAACACACACCACGGATGCTGCAACACACTTTGACGTTTCAAATAATCTGTTCGACATACTGCGAACGATTTCAGGAAAAGTGACGGCCACTGGACGTTCACGGTGGGCACAGATGAGTGTGGCAGTGCCCATCAACCAGTGACCAGTAACGAGTGCGGCACACTTGGTCGATGTCCACCTCTGGAAAGCAAAAACAAAACAAACCAACAAAAAAAACTATGATTCGACAACCCGAGTGTACGAAACGCTTTGGGTTTGAGAAAAAAGACGCCGTCCATGCATATAACGGATGTAAGGGTGAAGATGCACAGTGCCGACGCGAAAGCACGCCCTTGAGTGTCAAAACTCACCCGCTGCAGGGCACTGAGCTGTGGAGAACTCTCTGACAATGTCCACCGAACAGATAGAATAGATAGGATAAAGACGCCCAAACCTGCAACGCGTGACAAGTCCAAGAACGCCGACGTCATCTTTAGAAGCCCGCCCCCCTCATGCCTCCCCCTTGTGGGAGCCGCCAGACTTATGGGATGGAGGCAGCGGCAACATGTGTTCCGTCGGCGGCAAGGCAGCGTTGGCTGCACCACCGATAGAGTTCAAGGGAAATATCAACAACAACAACAACAACAACAACAACAACAACAACAACAACAACAAAATGGCCAACATGCAAGGAGTGGGAAGAGGGCAGAGCGGGCGGCCGCGGGGGGGAGGAGGAGGAAGCGGCAACAGCAGACTGGCCCCGGCCCTCCGCCGCGCGCCTTGCGCTCTCGCCACTGCTCCCACTTGGCCGCATCGCCGCCACTCGGGAGGAGGCCACTGCTGCCGTCGTGTCCTCGACGGGCGCCGCCCTCCAGCTCCTCCTCCTCTTCCTCCACGTCCCCCTCCTCATCCTCCTCCTCTTCCTCCTCCTCCTTTTCCTCCTCTTCCCCCTCCTCCTCCTCTTCCTCCCCCTCCTCCATCTCCTCCACCTCCACCTCCACCTCCACATCCACCTCCTCCTCCTCCTCCTCTTCCACATCCACCTCCTCCTCCTCCTCCTCCTCTTCCTCCTCCTCCTCCTCCTCCTCCTCCTCCTCCATTCCTCATCCTCGTTCTCCTCCTCCTCCTCATCCTCCTCTTCCTTCTCCCCCTGTTATTATTAATGTTAGTCTTTTTATCAGATCGAATCCTAATAGTATTCCCATTCGTCCCAACATTCCTATTAGCTAATATGTGTTAAAAGTATGTGTAATGTTACTTAAAATGTATAGAGAAATACTAGCCATAATATGAATGAGTGTTCTTATGTTTAATGTATTACGAATAATGATAGTAATCATGATGATGATAACACTAATACTGTTAGCAATAATAGGAATACGAATTGTGGCATCGGCGTCGCTGATATCATTACTCATGTTATGTGTGTGCTTACTGTTCTTAAGGGTATTACTAGTGATAGTAATAGTAGTAGTAGTAGTAGTAGTAGTAATGGTAGAGTTAGTCAAAGTATTACTAGTTTTATCAGTATTGGTATCCGTATCATTGTTATTGTTTGGGGTAATACGTCTAGTGCTAATGATACTAGTCTTTAGTATTACACTCATTCGAAAGATTGGTATGTGGTTGACTATTACTACTAAAATTATTAGTACCATTCGTATGACTAGTCGCTCTACCAGTATTATGATGTTTCGTACTATTCCTGGTATACTTAAAACTCGTGGAATTAATCGTCTTCGCATTATGTGTTAATAGACGTATTATGCGCATTATCACTACGATTATTCGTTCCATGATTATTATTATTAGTCTCATTGGTATTCGATGTGTTGGTATTATTGTTCGTTGTCGTCGCATTATTGCCGATACTGTTGACATGTTCCTATGGCTACGATTCCTGCTACTGTTCTTAACCATAGTCTGCCTATGACAAATATTACTTGCATTACTACAATCAAGATTATTAAGATTCGCCTTCATGGTCGTAGTTTTCTTACTCGTTTTCCTGGCGTTCGTCATCTGATTACTAATGTTATTACTACAATTATTATTACTTGTATTACTAATTATTCCTCCTCCTCGTCCTCCTCCTCTTCCTCCTCCTCTTCCTCCTCCTCCTTCTCCCCCTCCGTCCCCTTCTTTCCCTCCTCTTCGCACACTCTCCTCCGAAGTCGTTTTCTTGTTCGCGACGCCGACGCCAAGGGATCTTGACCACCTCCGGGGCCAGCTTTTCATCCTGAGTTCGCAGACAGTCCCGAGGCCAGGAAGCGGCCCGCAGCGGCCGAAGACCAGAACAAGAAGTGCACGCTTTGCAACACACTGGCACAAGGGTCTCCACATTCGATTTTTGTGCTAGCTGGCGGCGGCTCGGTCACTGAGAACTGGAGCCGTCAGCGGCTCCTCCCTGCCTGGCGGGGCAGAGGCGGTGCGCTCTCGGGGCGCAAGGTGGCTCAGCGCCGGTGTCGAGGTTTGGGCAGCAGTGGGCGCGGCCGAGGTGGTTCCGCGGACGCCCTGGTCCCTTCGGCGCGAAGTGAGCTGCAAAGAGGGCGGTGTTTTTTTTCCAGCAGCGGCGCAAAGGGGTCCTCAGGCGCGAACGGCAGATGGAAGTGCCAATTTCGATCGAGCAACGTCGAAGGCACAGTGCACAGACGTGCACACTGCCAAATGCAGCGATGGGTGATGTGGAGGAAGAACTGTAAATCCAGGCGAAGCGTGCAACGGCCAGAGAACCGAGGAGACATTTCAACTCGAAGGGAGGTGGGCAGCAGGCAGCACGGCGGTGCCAAGGGGCGGCGAGGGTGGGAAAGCGGGAGAGCGGGGCGAAGGCTGCTGCAGGTCTTGCAAGGGGGGTGGTTCTGGCCCGCTCCGTCGTGATGCCACAGGTCCCTCTCCCACCCCACCTGGCTCCCCGCCCACGCCCCTTCCACAAGGGCGGGGGAGGAGAAGAGATGGGAGAAGGGCAGGACAAACGCCAGGAGAGAGCGAGCGGGCCAGGCTCGACGAGAAGGCTGGGAACGGGCACCTCCGGGTAACCATGTCTCTGAAGCTATTCAAGTCCAGCATGTTGGTTGCCCAGCATTGGATTACATGAAGGTACCAATAGGTATACTCTGCTGCATTGCCTTGCCGCTTCGGGTTACTGCCATCGGCATTGTAATTGGGACTTGGATGGCACTACAGTGGCTTTGCTGGTTTTCCTGCGCATATGTGCCGGATCGGCATTGACGTACTGGGAATTATTGCCGCAGGAGTGGGCACGAACAATGAGTCTTGGAGCTGGTTGGGTGGCCGCTGCTTCCGCCGTGTAGTGGGAGAAGGGTTCAAGTCGAGTGAGTTAAGGTAGAGGTTGGTTGAGTGCCCTACTGCGGTATTGACGAGTCGACGATGCTGGGTTGCTCTGCTGCGACGTTGACATTGAGTGCGGAGTGGTTGCAGGTGTATGGTGAGATAGAAATCAATGTCCTGCAATATCAGGTGGATTGGTGGAGGTGCCTTCCTGTCCTTCTCTTCCTCCTCCTCCTCCTCCTCCTCCTCCTCCTCCTCCTCTTCCTCCTCCTCCTCATCCTCCTAATCATCATCAGCAGCAGCAGCAGCATCATCATAATCCTCCTCCTCCTCCTCATCATCATCATCATCATCAACACCATCATCATCATAATCAGCATCATCAGAATAATCAGCATCGGCATCATCATCATGAACCATCATCATCATCGTAACAGCATCAGCATCGTCAGAATCATCATCATCATAATCATCATGTTCATCATCATCAGCTTTAGCATCAGCATCATCCTCATCATCATCATCATCATCATCAACATCATCAACATTATGATCATCATCATCATCATCATCATCATCATCATCATCATCATCATCATCATCATCATCATCATCATCATCAACATCCATTTCCTCCTCCTCATCATCCATTATCCTCTCCCCTTCTTGTCCTCCTTGTCCTTCTCCTCCTACTCATCCTTCTCCTCTGCTATCTTCGTCCTATCCCCTCCACATTCTCCTCCTCCTCCTACTCCTCCTCCTCATTCTCCTTGTCATCCTCCGCCCCCTCGTCCTCCATTCCGGTTCCTGTATAAATAAAATAAAGACAAAAATAATTAAAACAACGGAGGAAAAAGAAAAAAACAAAAAAAACTGTCGCACCCCGAGGCCCGTCAGAAGGGGGGGCGGGGCGTTTCGCATGAGGCTTCCTTTACATGTGTGATCCTGAAACATAAAGATTGGCAACAATTGTTCTGTTTTACGGAGACGGGTCGCTTTCAACATCTGGTTTTCGCCTTAGCGCTGCGCAAACTCGTCTTACAAAAGGAGAGCTTGACGGATTTACGGCGAATATGTTTCAAAATGTAGTTCTCGTTCTAGCGCCGCGTTCGTCTTACCAAATTGCAAGGACTTTCACAGATTGAGGGCGGGTCGTTTTCGCAATGTGGCTCTCGCTCTAGCGCCACACCCATTCGTCTTACAAATCTGCAGAAGGTTCACTGGTTGAGGGCGGGCGGTGTTCAAAATATGGCTCTCGCCTTAGCACCGCGCACGTTCGAAAGAAAATCCCAGAGGTTCACGAATTGAGCGCAAGTATCTTTCAAACTGTGGCTCTTGCCTTAGCGCCGCGGTCACTCGTCTCAAACATATGTGAATGTTCACGGGTTCCAATGGATAATATACCAGAAAGGTGGTTGTTGGAAAGATGCAGGATTGTCAGGGCGCAACCGTTTCCTTGATTCGCGGTGTTGAAGTGTCCCAGACATGGTTTTCTGGCACGCTGCAGGATCGCAAACACGCAACAGTCAGGATGATTCGTGGCGTTGGGGTCCTGAGAATGGTGCCTCGACGGCTGTCTCCCAACGGGGTACTTCCCTTCGGTGGAAATGAGTCCTTGTAGGGGCCTATGAAGAGGGATCTCGGAGGGACGGTTTATTCCAACATCGTTAACGAGTCTTGGGTTTACAGTGGTCCCCCTTCTCCTCCTCCTCCTCCTCCCCTCCTCCTATTCCTCTTCCTTCTCCTCCTCATCCTCCTCATCCTTGCTCTTTTCTCTCCCGACTGTGCCTTGCATTTCCGCCCCCTTCGGTTGGTTCACACATCCACCCTTCTGGAAGGTTTCTCCGAAGGCCTTAGGCGACCCGTCCTCCTCCTCCTCCTCCTCCTCCTCCTCCTCCTCCTCCTCCTCCTCCTCCTCCTCCTCCTCCTCCTCCTCCTCCTCCGTCCTCCTCCTCCTCTTCCACCTTCTCCTCCTCCTCTTCCTCCTCCTCCTCCTCCTCCTCCCCCGAGCGCGCGGGGAAGGCGAAGAGGAAAGGGCAGGGAAAGGTGGAGTTGTAAAGGGAGGGCAGAAGGGAGAGGGAGAGGGAAGGGGGGATCCCAGCTGGTCACGCTAAATCTCGGCGATGAGCGAAGTGGTGAAGTGCGAAGGAGAAGGTTTCCCCAGAAGGCGGCAGGGTTTCTCAGAAGCCTGACAATTGTTCTGCGTCTTCGGCGATGTCTTACGAAATTTCTCAGTAGACCAGGGGTCTGCCGAGCCTCCTGAAAAGACCTTTTCCTTCACACTTCCCTCCAGGCTCGCCGCCGAGAGAGGGGAGGGGGGAATTCCAGCTGGTCACGCAAAATCTGGTCCAACTGGGGTCTATCTCGCCAGCAGCCTTCCAAAGTTCACCAAACATTGGCCACTTGCTAATTCAGCTCGTATAGCAAAACGGTTTGGGGCTTGACGGCAGAAACTCTAAAAGCTAATCTGGGCTGAGTTGGCGGGACCGGGATTGACCCGAGCATATGTCACTTTGGAGGATGGTACTAGATCCCTTGAAAACCACAAGTGTATGGGAATTGCCTACACGCATACCGATCTATGCACGCACACACTTGTTTGACGGTAGCGGCCTCGCGCGCAGCGACACGGTGGAGATTGTAAGAATACGAAGGGCAAGACTGTGGCCAGGCCTACAGAAATCGCGTTGAATCCCGCATCACCTACCACCATACAGCACATCCGGGCATGGATGGCAGCGAGGTGACACACAAGCCAGGAGGGTCATTCCCGACGTGGCTGGGCAGGAGGAGGAGGGGCGCCATACAGCACATCTGGGCGTGGGTGGCAGGAGCGGAACATCTCGGCTCCAGCGCGAAATGCGGGAAGGAGGCATGCGCGGACCAGGAAGGGTGAAGGTGCACGGTTTCCCCCGAGGCCGTAGGCGACCCGAGGAGGGGGAGGAGGAGGAGGAGGAGGAGGAGGAGGAGGAGGAGGAGGAGGAGGAGGAGGAGGAGGAGGAGGAGAGGAGGGTGAGGGGGAGGAGGAGATGGAAGAGGAGGAGGAGGAGGAGGAGGAGGAGGAGGAGGACGGAGGAGGAGGAGGAGAAGGAGGAGGACGGGTCGCCTAAGCCCTTCGGAGAAACCCCTCAGAAGGGTGGAGGTGTGAACCAACCGAAGGAGGCAGAAATGCAAGGCACAGTCGGGAGTGAAAAGAGCAAGGATGAGGAGGATGAGGAGGAGAAGGAAGAGGAAGAGGAGGAGGAAGAGGGGAGGAGGAGGAGAAGGGGGACCAACCCAAGACTCGTTAACGATGCTGGAATAAACCCTCCCTCCGAGATCAGATCATAGGCCCTGACAAGGATTCGCTTCCACTGAAGAGAATACCACGTTGGGGAGACAGCCGTCGAGGCCACGGAACCATCCCTTCGTGGGAGGCTGCGACGCCAGGGAGCGGCGGCGAGCACCGGGGACGCGCTCACGCACACGTTTCCTGGTCGTCGCGGCCAAGCGACAAGGAAAGGACGGAGAAGAAAAGCAAGGAAAGGAAGGAAAGGAAAAGAAATAATCGAGAAAATAAGCAGACAAGGGGGAGAGAGCATATACATATACCTGTCTAACACAAACATCAAAAGGGTATAGAAGAGAAGAAGATGTAAAGGCATGGAATGGTGCGAAAAGACATGGCATGATAACACACTAAAAAAAGAAACGAACATAAACGAAACAAAAGAAAACAAACGAAAACTGAATAAACGAACAGAGCCAAAACGGAACCAAAAAAAGAAAATATAAGCAAAACAAGCACACCCACACACGGACACACTTGTAAAGTCGGCGGCACAGAGGGTCCTCAAGCGCGAACAGCAGATAGAGGTGCGAATTGCGACCTAACGTGGTCGATAGCGCGGCGCACGAGCAGCATCACCGCGCCATGCAAGCAAGGGGTGTGATAGAGGAACTGTAAGTCAAAGCTAAGCGTGCAGCGGCCAAAAAACGAGGGCCACACAGACACACACAAACAACCACACACACACACGCACACGCACACGCACACGCACACGCACGCACGCACGCACACACACACACACACACACAGACACACACGCACACACATACCCGTATACACTCGCGCGCGCACCCTTTTGTACACCGCAGGTGCTTTCGTGTGCCCACCACCACCACTGTCGCAATCGCATGGTAAACATGTCACCTGTGCACACGAACAGCAGCAGCTGCACACTACAGGCCTGAAAAGACAAGCGAAGACGCGACCCTTGCGGAACTACGCCAACGTGGACCGTTGCCCGCGTGCACACCACTACCCCTGTACCCAGCAAGGCCTGCCCACACCATGTTGTGGATTCATGCAGTTTCCATACATATGGAAGAAATGAGGCTGGCGCGACATCAATTAGGGGCATCCATTGTACTCAAGGCATGTGTGCGCAATGCAATTCATTCGAGTGCAACGCAATGCATGACCTGGGGAGACCAGAAGGTATCAATACCGCTACTCCCTGGACCTCTCCCAGAGTGCGTTCTGACAAGGATTGCGAGGCGAATCCAGCGGTGCCCAAAAGGGAGAAAACGAGGGAAGGGTAGAGGTGCGGGTACCTTTCCTCCTCTGAGTAACATGAAATGCAAAGCACAGAACAGCATAGCAACGCATAGCATAGCATAGCAACGCCGAGTAGACCGCGGCATGGCAATGCTTGGAAAGCGTGGAAAACCACAATTAAAGGGGGAGAGTCCTTCGAGGGGGATGCACATGTAGTGGGGGGGTGTTCAGGTTAGGTGTATGTACTGGGGCGGATGGTCGAAGGAGAAGCGTGGGGAGTGCCAAGATCTGGTGCATGGGAGGAACGAGGCATGGGGAGTGCATGCACTCCAGCGTACGGTAGGAGGAGAGGAGTGGTGAGTGCAGTCGCTGCTAAAGTGCAGGTGGTTAGGTGCACGGGATCCGGAGCGTATTCCGCTAGGTGTGTTCACTAAAGCGTATGGAAGGATGAGAGGGGGAGGAGGAGAAGGACAGAGGTGGAAGAGAATTTACTTCAGTGTGCCCAGAAACCTCTCAGAAGCCTCCCACCATCTTCTATCAAAAAGCGCTGCTCAAACGCAAAGACCACGCCCTTGAGCACTCTGCCAGGCGATCGAAGAATCCTCTCCAAATGTTTGCACAGCAGGCGCATGCGAATTACCATTAGGTCGGGTCTGTCCCCCTACAGGAGGATTTTGAGCGAAAAATAAGAAATACTCCAAATACCTCCCACATGATCAAAAATAGTCAAAAAACCGTCCCCTGACTATTTCTTGACTCCCCCTGAATATTCCTCCTGTAAAGGGACAGGCCCGACTGAAAATTACCAGGAGATCGCTTCCGAAGCCTAGATGGATCGATGCCTGGCCAGGTCTCGACACCCCAGGACTCGGAAGGACTTGACGAGAGGGTGACCTCTTCGAGAGGGCGACGAGGGGGAAGGGGGAGCGACGAGCGACGAGCGACTCCCCCCTCCTCCTTCCCGTCACCACTCCATCCTCCCCTGCTTCTCCGCCGTCCTCCCAGACGTGCGAGGTCCTGATTTTTGCAGCACGGGTTCCCCCAGAGTCACGACCTCTTCCCCGGGCCTGGCTTTTCATCCTGAGTCTTAGGTTGCTCCCATCGTACTTAAGGACCACATAGCGGACAAAATTTCGAGCGCCCAGAAAAGTGTCGAAACAGTGTCGAACGAGTGTCGCCTTCCAGGGCCCGGCACGTGAAAACCCTCCAATTTCGGTACTTTCCTGGTGCTCGAAACTCTTCCTGGTGATCAAGGCTAAAGTCGGTTGGAGCATCATAACCTGAGTCGTTCTTTGACGGTCCCGCGGCCTCCACAGGGGCCCCGGGAGGCCGCCAGCGGCCAAAGAAACGACGCGAGCACGCCTGGGTTCCCATCGCGAGCTCCCTCTGCTGGGGGGGGGCCCTGGAGGACGGCGGTCCAGAGTCCGCTGCCGCGGCAGCCTCTGCGGCTGTTCCCGACGGTGCGGCCTGCCGCCGACGGGGGGGGAGGAGGAGGAGGAGGAGGAGGTGGTGGTGGTGGTCACTGCATAAGGGAAACAGAATCCCGAGCAGAGCAACACGCACCACGACCACGACGACGCCGACGACGACGACGACGACGACGGAGACGAGGCGCGCTTACGATCCGCATCGAAGCACGGATTTGGGAAAGGGCCCACCCTGCAGGTTCGGTTAAACAGCACATCGTTGAGCGGTGCTGCAGCCTCCCCTGAGCACAGGCCCCCCCAGAGCATCAGCCAGACAAGTCGGGTTTGCACCCTCATGCCTTGCTGGACTCTGGGCGCGTTTCGGCACCCTCTCCCCCAACCTCGTCAGGGCCACCGACAAGGGAGAGGGCGGCGGTGGCCGACGCGTCCCCGAGCTAAGAAGCTCAAAGCGCCGCGGCTCAGAGAGCCGGGAAGACAGACAGACAGACGGACGGACGGACAGCCAGGCGGCGTGCAATGCCTGGCAAGCCAAGTGGGTGGTCACTGCATAAGGGAAACAGAATCCCGAGCAGAGCAACACGCACCACGACCACGACGACGCCGACGACGACGACGACGGAGACGAGGCGCGCTTACGATCCGCACCGAAGCACGGATTTGGGAAAGGGCCCACCCTGCAGGTTCGGTTAAACAGCACATCGTTGAGCGGTGCTGCAGCCTCCCCTGAGCACAGGCCCCCCCAGAGCATCAGCCAGACAAGTCGGGTTTGCACCCTCATGCCTTGCTGGACTCTGGGCGCGTTTCGGCACCCTCTCCCCCAACCTCGTCAGGGCCACCGACAAGGGAGAGGGCGGCGGTGGCCGACGTGTCCCCGAGCTAAGAAGCGGGAGGAGGAGGAGGAGGAGGAGGAGGAGGAGGAGGAGGAGGAGGAGCAGGACGAGCAGGAGGAGGGGGAACAGGAGGAGGAGGAGGAGGAGGAGAACGGGAAGGAAGGGGGAAGAAGCGGGTAGGAGAAGGGAGGAGAGGGAGGGAAGGGATGGGAGGAGAATCGAGGAACACATAGTGGCATAAACACAGCCTTTCGAAGGGCCGTGCTGATGTTTCGGATCGGCGGTGGATCCGTGGCGCTGGAAGCGCCGCCAGATGGCTCCAGCGCCAATCCGAGGAGGAGAAGGTCGGGCGTTGCTTAATGATGGGGGGTGTACATGCGGGGGAAATGTGCACCTTTCGTGCCCCTTTTGGGCCACTTCACGGCCCCTTGTGGGCACAAGCGGTACACCTTTCTTCACTCCCATTGTCTATCGGGCCAAGAAGCGCGCGACTACGTCAAAGATGCAATCCGGATACCCCCCACAAGCAAAGGTAGCTCGTGGCGTTTGCATGCGATTGATCTAGCCCCCAACCATCTGCACGAATCGAGCTCAGTTTGAATAAGTACGTGCAGGCTAGAGTCGCAGCACGGAAACTTGAAAAGGGGGCCCTGTGGGGCGACGCACGTGCAGACTGGAGGCACAGCGCGGGAAACTGTTAAGGGGGCCCAGCGGGGCTATGATCGTCAAGACTATCCGACACATGTAGGCGAATCCTACGACTTTGACTCATGTCGGTGTCTCCCCAAGCGGGGGCGTCGGGGCTACCAGAATTGAGTATTTAAAGACCGCCACGATAACCCAATCCACCAGGAAGAAGAGAGCACACATCGTCAACTGTGTAATAGGCATCTCTGCTAACCAGTTCACCAGTCCAAGGGGAGGAGGGGATGAAGACCAGAGTAAACCCATCATACGCTACTCTGGATGGGACAATAGTCGGCCTCCCCGTGGATTCCCCGCGGGGGGGGGGCGGGCACGTGCTGTCGGAACGTGTGGAGGGGGAGCAGGAGGGCGGGCGTGGGGGGGGGGGGGGAAGGCAAGCTCCGTAGGAAGGCCCCCCCCCCCCCCCCCCCCCCCCCCGGGATCAGATACCCCGTCCAGAGGACGGATGCTGCAAGACGCCGTCCCGCTCCAGGGGCCCCCTCCCTCGCCGCTCCGCGCGCCCTCCCGCGGGCGCTCCCCCGCCGCCGCGGGCAGCGCCCGCCCCCTGGGTCTGCCGCTCGGGCGAGGCACGCGCCCGGTCGGGGGCCCACCCCCCCGTCCGCCCTGCTCGACAGAGGCACGGCAGGAGGGCACGATCGTGATTTCGGGGAGAGGCCCACCGAGAGCCCAGCAGCTTTGGTGTTCGTTCCGTGGGAGCCTGCGTGGCCCCCGGCGCTGTCCGATCTGGGCCTGATCTGGACCAGATTTGGAACAGATTTGGACCAGATTTGGAGTGAACTCGCGGGGACTAGAAGAACGAGGAGGAAGAGGGGGAACAGGAGGGGAGAGGAGCAGCAGGAGGATGGGCCAAATGCGGTCCCTACGCGGTCCAAATGCAGGAAGAGCTGATTTCAGTGTCGCCGCCCAAGGCTCCCATGAACAGACATCGAGAGTAGCATGTGCCCTCCATCCGCACAGACGCTGCCAAACTGCACAGCCCTGGCCACAAAAGGGAAGGAAACAGAAAGCGGTAACCCCATTCTGACAAGGTGACTGCCGTCATCCGTGCAACCATTGGAGGACATTGGGCGCAGTTCATTCAGCACGAAATGGAATGCCCCGAAGCTCATGCAGTTCCGAAGGGTGGACGGAGGGGTTGTAAGTCTCTGACGGGCCCGAACCACGAAACTCCCAAAATTTCTAGGCACTGCCAGGCGCTCTTGGGCGCCTCTGGGGTGACCCGGGCGGCCTCCGGGACGGTCCCCTCGCCCAGGAGGGCTCCAAAACGGGCAAAGCCCCAGAAATCGCCAAGACAGTCCAGCAAGGCCCAGACTCGCCGAAGCATCGCTTCAAGATGCCCAAGATGGCTTCCAGATGGCCCCAGACGCCTCCAAGACGTCCAAAGAGGCTTCCATGAGAAACCCAATGGGGCCCAATTTGGCCTCTTGTTATTGAACGACTTTCGAGTTTCTGCCTTTTTGGCTGCCCGACGTTCCAAGACGACCCAAGCGGCCCCAAAAATCGCCCCAAGGCGGCCGCCCGCCAAGAGGGCGCCGAGACGGCAGAAGAGGCCCCCAAGACGGCCCAAGAGGCCTCCAAGATGGCACAAGGTTAACCCCAAGAAGGCCCCAAGAGGGGCCCCAGAGAGAGAACAAGAGCCGACGTTTCGGGCCCACCGCCCAAAGAGGCCCTCGGGAGGCCCCAGAAGGCCCCCGAGAACCCCCCAAGAGGCCCCAAGAAGCCCCCAGAATGCCCCCAGGAAGCGCCAAGAGGCTCCAAGACGCTCCCACGAGGCTCCCAGGAGGCCTCAAAACTGCCACACATATGCATCCCCGAGGGCCCTCCGACGAGACCCCAAGAAGCATCCAGGAGGCCGCTGACCCACAACCCGCTCTCAGTGGCGGGATGGGCCGAAGGTCATTGCATATTGAAGACGAATGTGCGCGGCGCCAAATCGACAGCCCCATACCAAAAAGCTAATACCATCAATCCGTAAATCATCTTGGGAACTACGAGACATTCTGGCGAAGGAAAATCCAATAAATATCTACAAAGCACCTCATAATGAAGAGGAACCGCCCTCCATCAGCGCAGCTGTTGGCAATGTGTTAGACACAGTGCGCGATGACAGAATGGAAGTCTTGGTTTGAAATTGCACCGCCGCACATCAATGTGTCGACGCCAATGTTGGATATGTTCGAAACGAGCGCGTGCGGCGCCAGGGCGACAGCCACATTTTGAATATCGTTGACCCTCCATCCTCCACTTAAGACTAGTGTGCGCGGCGCCGCAGCTAGAGCTTCACGTTGATAAAGAGACCTCAGACATCCGTGTGACTCTTTGATTTCTATTAAGAAGACTGTGCGCGGCGCCACAAAAGCGTGAGCCCCACCCTGAAAACGCACCGTCGTCCTTTATCCGCGAAACTGTTCATTTCATAAAGACGTGTGCGCGGCGACAAAGCGAGGGCCACTCCCAATTTAGGCTTTACCTGAACGGCCCTTACTTGTTTGCAAGAAAAACAGTTGGGCGCGGGATCCTTCGTCAGCGGCGGCCCACAGCGCTGCTCGGGGTTACTCGGTGTTGCCAAGGGTTGACCAGGGGTGCCCGGGGCAACCTGGGGTTACCCAGGGTCGCAAGGGGTTGCCGAGGCGGTGCCCGGGCGGCCCCTAGCGTGGTTCGGGGTTGGCCTGGGTTACCCAGGGTTGCCCAAGGTTGTCCCGGTTTGCCCAGGGTTGCCCAGGGTTACCCGTGCACATCAAGCATTGCCAAGCGATACCAAGCCATACATAGCAAAGTTCCACAGTGCCAAGCAATGCCAAGCAAGGCCAAGCAATGCCAAGCAATGCCAACCAATGCCTAGCAACGGTTCCAAGCAATGCCAAAGAAAGAGTCCTAGCTATATCAAGCAACACCGAGCAATGCTAAGAAATGCCAGCGCCAAGCAATGCCGAATCATGGTGAGCAATACAAAGCAATCCCAAGCAGTGGCAAACTATACTCAACACCACCAAATAATGAAAAGCAATACAAGCAATGCTCGGCAATGCCGAACACTGCCAAGCAACGATTCACAGCAATGCCAATTAACGAGTCCGAGCAACGCCGAGCAATGCCAAGCGACGCAAAGCAACGCCATGCAATGACAAGCAACGCAAAGCAATCCAAAGCAACGCAAAACAATGCCAAGCAATGCCAAGCAACGAGTTGCGTCACATTGCTTTGCATCGCCCAGAACTGATTTGACTCGTTGTGGGGAAAAGAAGCCCCTGATTGGGGCCGCACTGCGTTTAGTTTGACAGGTACCACCCTCAATCCGTGTGAATGTGCACTGGAGGTTCTAGCAAAGCCTGGCCGCCGCTGGAACGCCAGACCCCATGACGACGACTGCCGCCAATCTTGGCGCCAATCCTGGCTCAGCAACGGCATTCTGCCGGTCGCCCATCGGATGACAGCCTTCCTCTCCTGGCACCAGCGGGGCTAGCGGATGGCGGGCAGTGGCGGGGAGCAGCCCGCGGCGAGGCCAAACCAGCGATTGAGAGCCGAGCCCTAAAAACAGCGACGGCAGAGGCGGGGGTGGGCAGAATCGCAGGCGCCAGACAGTCCAGCGGCAGCAACACCACGGCGTCGGGGAGGGCAGAAGCCGCCCGAAGTCGACAGGCGCGATGGGCATGTGGCGGAATCGCAACGAAGTTGCGAAAGAAAAAAAGGAGCGTGCCGCGAGGCGTCAGTCCCAAAGCTGCGGGACTCCTTCGCGCACAGTCGCGGGAGTCTGTATGAACCACACATACAAAAAAAACAAAAACAGAAGAAAAAAAAAAAAAAAAAAAAAAACGAACATTATCATGCAACTGCACTTACTACGATGCTGTTACCCAAATGTTTGACCATTATTCCACTTGGCCCGCGCGGATCCGCGACCCGCGAGCCTTCCGGCAAGGCCACACAGATGGCAAGTATCCCTCAAGATTTAAGGTCGCTCAGTCTCGTTAAAGACGGGCTTGGTAAGTTTCAGGGGACGCGGAGTAGGCGTTCATCTGCTGAAAGACGAAGCGGAGTAAGTTAAACCAGGACGCGGATTAAGTTAATCCACGTGACACAACGCGCGGAGTAAGTTCTTACATCGAAGTAAATCCAGAATACCAAGGAGAAACGGGGTGGGCGGAAGCCGAAACCTACTCCGCCACAGGCGGATGACATGTTGTAGGATTCTACGGGGGGAGGGGGCCCTCGTCGACGGGAGGGATCAGAACTTGGATAACGGCAGTGCATTCGCCATACGCATCATCATCATCAACAACAACCAGGACAACATCATGATCACCATCGCCATCATAATCATTACCTTCGCCTTCGTTGTCGGACTCGTCTTCGCTATCGTCTTCATCATCCACATAAGAAGCCGCATGATCATAGCCATTGTCTTCACCATCATCATCATCATCATCATCATCATCATCATCATCATCATCATCATCAGCAGCAGCTGCATCGTCATAATATTCGTCATCCTCCTCAAAATCATCATCACTGTGTGTGTTCGTTTTCGTCTTCATTATCATCAGCAGCAGCATCAAAATCATCATCCCGATCATGATAGTCATCATCATCAGCATCATCATCAGCATCATCATCAGCATCGTCGTCATCGTCATCGTCATCGTCATGTCGACATCGTCATCTTCATCAACATGAGCATCATCATCAGAATCGTCTTCATCGTCGTCGTCGGCATGATCGTAATCGTCTTCATCTTCGTCGTCGCCATCACATCAGCATCATCATCGTCATCCTCATCGTCATCAACATTATCGTCGTCATCATCATAATCACGACATCATCATCATCATCAGCAGTCATCACCATCATCAGCATCCCCGTAATCGTGTTCATCGTTTTCATCGTCGTCGTCGCCATCATCATCAGCATCAGCATCGTCATCATAATCATCGTCATCATCATAATCGTCATAGTCCTCATCGCCATCATCGGGGTCGTCGTCATCATCATCATTAAACCATCATCATCAGTCGTCATCTTCATCACCATCACCAGCAGCATTGTCGTGGTCGTTATCATAATCAACGTCGTCATCGTCAGCATCACCGACAGCAGCACCATCAATATCGTCGTCGTCCTAATTATCATCACCACCATTATCATTATCACCATCATCATGTTCATCGGCATCATCATCATGATCATCATCATCATCATCATTATCATCAGCATCATCATTGTCGTCATCAACAGCAGCAGAAGAAAAATCACCCGCCGCCCACATAGCATGACTGATATACGCGCCTCGAAGAGAACACAAAACCGCATGAGCGTTCCGATCACAAAACAACTCTGGAATCGCAGGGACAATCCAGGAAAACGTACCCGGGGATTCCACTCCAAAATTCTTGGCACCGATGCGAAAACCTAATTAAAAGTCTGCCGTCTTCAACCGGGGTGAAGGAACCAACCCCAGCGTGCCAGAGGGCTCCCCGATGATTGCCGCCGTCTCTGTGACAAGTGCTCCCGTCGACGAGGAGGGCCTCCCCCCACCCTCAGGGCAGTGCACGCCGTCGCCCCTGCGTCGAGGATCGGCCGATCCTCCTCATGCCGAAGGCCGGCTGCCCAGCAGTGTAAGACGAATCCAGGACGATGATCAAATCAGGTGAGGGTAAATCGAGAATCTCTGAAATCTGGCGGCTCTAGAGGATGTCTCGGGCGCCGCGGCCTTCTCAGATCATTCCAGAACGTTCTAACAGCGTTCGGGAACGCTCTGGAACGGACTTAGCCCCGTCCGACAGGGTCATGCTGCGCCCGCTCGCTTCCAGGGAAAGTCAACCACATCCTCTGCGAGATTTACGCACGCCGACCGGAGCGTGCTGCTCCGTCGGGGCCAGCGCAAGTGGCGGCATGCCGGAGGGGCGATCCATCCAGACAAGTACTTCGTCCTCCTCCTCCTCCTCCTCCTCCTCCTCCTCCTCCTCCTCCTCCTCCTCCTCCTCCTCATCCTCCCCCTCCTCCGTCAAGCCCGGCCTCTGGACCTCTCCTGGAGCGCGTCCTGGCCAGGGCCTCGGCGCGGTCCCGGCCGCGGCGACGAGGGCCACTCCCAGAGGGCCAGGAGCGGAGCTGGGAAAGCCGGAGCAGAGCCTCCGCGGCCTCCCTTTCGACGGCCGGCCGGCCACCCCCCCCCGCGCAGCGCGGTCCCCGGGGGGGGGCCGCGCCTCGCCGGCTGAGGAGCAGCCTCTCATCCCTCGAGGCCCATGCCCGGAGATGGCGGGCCCCTCGCGCAGCGCTCGTCGTCGACGTCGCAGACGTGATCGTCGTCGCCGTGATCGTCGTGGTGAACGCGGACGGCGAGCAGAGGGAGCGAGAGCGGGAGGCCGGAGGCAGGAGGAGGCGGTCACCAGAGCTTCCCACAGGGTCTCGTCCAGTGCCATCGAGGGGAAGACGGCTCGTCCATCCAGTGTGCTCCAAACGGATGACCCTGCCCATGGCCGATAGATGCCCAGTGGGTCATGATCAGGTCCTTCATGGACCGAGCTCTTCTGGCATGAAACGGGGCTGGCGTCTCCTGAGGGCGCTTCCGAAATTTCAGCTTCTACCCCAATATCTAAAGCCGGCGGCTGTATCAAACGGCGGGACGAAACGGAAGGAAAGGAGACGAACGAGGGGGCAGGAGACTCGTGGCCATTTTGGCTCAAGCTGCACGGACGCGCGCTCGGGCGTGGGTGCTGTTTGCGAAAAATTGCAGGACTGCACGGGCGATGCGCGCAGAGCTGCTGCGGACAAGCAGACTGCAGCAGAACGAAAACGGTACCCGCGACCACGAGAAAGACTGGATATCAGCCGAAGGAAAAAGGCTCCGAGGATGGGCGGGAACTGGGCAGCTCGCGAGTGCATCCCCCGGGAACCAGGCAGCTCCCGAGTGCGTAGACCTAACTGGACTGTGTCAGGGGACCTCGCACTGAGGTCCCACACGAACGAACAACGGAAGCAGGAGGAGGAAGAGGAACTGGCACATCGAGGCAACATAGAGATTTACAAGATACGACGCAAGATCGCCCCTCATTCAAAGCCAATACAATAAAAAAGTCTGGGGCGGCTTAGGACGGGCTCAGACACGCACTCGAAGGTGGAGGAGGCACGGGGACCCGCCTCAACCTCTCGGCTGCGTCGCTTGCGCCGCAGAGCAACACCATATTAGTTCAGATGGCGAACACTCACAGCGAACTGACTCCAAAATTCAGCAACGAGTCCAGCAGCACCACCATGGGCTCCGAGGGCATCCTCGGGGTACGTATGTTCGTCCGGGACCAGACCATGGCGTACTCCTGCGTACGGCCCGACACCTGCGAGAGCAATGGTACCGGCTGCTGCAACTGCTACGGCACACACGGTGACGACCATGCTGGTGACGTTGATCGGCGGCAAGCGAGGGGGGGAAGTGAGAAAGAGAAGGCCTTCTCACAAGGCGACGGGGTTTTTCAGAAGCCCTCTGGCCTTGTGAAAAGTTGTCGGTGCTTTCGGGGAAGGTTTTGAAACCTTCCTGGAAGGCTGGGGGACTTCCGAGCCTGCTAAGAAGGCCCGCCCCCTCTCACTTCCCCGCTGGTCTGGCCGCTCAGATGAGGAGGGAGAAGAGCGGGAACGAGGATGAGGAA